TCTTTTTTAAATAATAGCTGTTCTATTACACATGACATTTTATCTTTGAAGCAGTTAAAACAATTTACAGGCAATACCATGTGGCAAACATTTTCACGTAGGAGATACTCTGCTGGATAGCGACGTAAAGTCAGTGCACATTATGCAAACGCTATAAACATTGCTTGTTGTAACTTGTGAAAACTTAGACATGCAACACAGTAAAATATAAATAAAGTATAAAATTAATTAAATTTGTCAGTGAGATAACAATGAATAATTGAATTGTAACTATTGATCATTTGCCGAATGTTTTCGAAACTGTCCTTCTAAACGAATTGAAGAAAAGTATAAGGCCAGTCGATTCGATACGTTTCAGCGCCGCTGGACCTACTTATTTCAACATAGAACTTTGGAATTATCGGACTAACTTAAGGCAGTCCAGCAACTGATCGCGGCAAAATGCTCTACCCTGTTTCTTTGCGAGTTCCCTTTAAAAAGCAAATAAAGCATTTCATATTGACATCCTCTAAAAATGTGCGTGCTTTTTTTTGGTTAGCGGATACCTCGGACGAAGATCTCTATTCTGAAGTGTAAAGTTGTCTATGAGGAACATAAACACTAGACCCAAATCGGCTCCGTTGAATGAATTAAGTCTCAGGTCGGCTAGCAAAAATACAACTTCATAAAAGACACCCATAGCAACAAGTACGTCAACACTTTTGAGCCGTCTCCTCCCTAGAGTCCAACACTAACGTTTGAATGTTTCGTCTATTGTCTGGCCCCTTACTAGACCGAACGCCATAACATATGAGATCTCCCTTATCTAGCTTGAACAATTAGGATTGAAGCGTTAGGGTTAAAATTGTGAAACGTACGCCACACAACTATACCCTAGACGTTGCTACTTGCACTAATGGCTCCAAAGATTATAAGCAATGCTTTTACAGCATACGTAGTTCAACACTTGTCGTTTGACAAAATAAGGCCATTTCAAATTTCAATAATGGCTTTCCTATTTTTAGCCTACTTTTTGTTACATTTGAGATTTTTTCGACCTCATTTCTTCGACTTCAAAATAAGCAACAGCAATTGTATGATCGTTCTTTCTCTCTCTCTCCTCTCACCGAAATGACCACATGAGTATACATTTCTATATATGTACACGAAGTTTTCAGCGTAAGGTTTTATATGCTCCTTACGAACTCGATGACGCGCGTGACGATTGCATAAAACGGCAAAGACGAGACCTTCGAAAGGTCGGTCTATCTTTAGCACAAGCCATAATCATTATTACGTCACGAAAAAAAAACGTAAATACCTGCCCTTCGATAATGTTAATAATACTAAAGTAACATGTGAAAATCCTGCCTGGTTAAAAACAGCTTTAAAAACCCAAGGATTTAATAGATGCGATTAGGTTATATGAAGAGCAGTTACTTGGGAAAGTTTGTATAGTGCAGCGTTTCTTAGGATGTATTTACAAATCTCCCAGCAGCAAACGGTTAGTATTGACGCAATGCACCAATCCCCTACGGTGTTTATATTTTTTGTACGTATTCCAACAAAGCGCTGTAGCCGAAGGATGCGTAGGCATATGCGGTCAGGTATAGAGATCGTAGTTAACCACAGTCTACTATCCACCTGAAAAAATTTAGGTGGCAAATGATATTTGTCGACCCATGCGATACCGCTTTTTTGCTTGTTCTTCAGATTGAATTCCCTCTTTTTTTCTTATTCCCCTGGCAGCATGTGGTGTAAAAATGAACTCAAGTAGAACTCTTGGTGTTCCTGCATCTCCTATATTTTATCAAAACTAACAAAAATTCGGTCGATCCTACTATATGCTGTGCACGAACGAAAACAACGTTTTCGATTCGGGATTTGCTCGAACTATTACCTTACCGGTGCTCCGAAAAATAGAACTTACTACAATTAACTTGTCCTTACTCTTCGCGCTTAGCTTGTAATTAGAAGATCTACAGTCCACGTCTAGAAGATCACAAGTGAATCCTAATCATTTCATAATAACAATATACGGTTAACTAACAGAGGTAGTTGAGACTAATGATAACGCGAGACATTCTAATGACGAATCATCGTATCTTTCTGTCAGCTGAAAATAACGGGCTAGTCGAGAAAAGGAAAGAGCACGTATTATATATTAAAATGTGGTTTGTCAACGATTGATTCTTTCCTTCGCGGACAAAGCATATTTTGCAAGCTGATAATTTACGCCAAAACAAGTGACCAGGTGGCTGTACACAGACGATGTATGTTACGATAAGCAGAGGAGCTACCTCTCGCGTAGTGATAAAAAAACGTTCCTGTGCAAAGTTATGCAAGTAACTTTGCACAGGAGCAATACCGTAGCCTCGTTACTTACTTGTGAGTCCGCTCGAAAGTCGCCATAAAGTCCAAACTCCGGACATAAATAATTCTGTAAAAGAATGCCAGACAGCGAAAATCAGAAGTTAACAAAGGATGTATAGTGCCGTATCCCGTTTATAAGAAAAATATCATCATTTTTCACTAATGACGTGATGTTAACGTAAGCCGCCGTAAATTCCGTCTACTATGAAAGATTAGGATAATATACACATTCGCCGTTATAATGTTTTTCTACTTTTTTTCTATTAAAACGATCGAATTTAGCTATCTACACAACGTTCATACTACAAACAGTTATACTGCCTTTTATACGTTAGTGCGATTGCGGCAAGATAACGTAATAGAAATTATGTGATACAATAAAAAGTATCAAGATTGAATCAGTCCACATACGAATTTTAAAAGTTCGGCTTTCTGCTGTCGTGTCAGCTGTTTGGCGATATGTTGAGCCTATAGAACTGCTATTTCATGCGAGGCGGAGGTCCGCGGCAAGCTGACTGTCTTTACCTCGCCATTGGCTCTCAATTGGATAAATCCGCTTCAGGTCAAGCCAAGAGCCAAGTAAAAGTTATTATGCTCGTTGAACACAAAGGGTACTCTAGAACCTTCCTCCCTCATCGTCGCCTGACCGCGGAACTCCTTCCGCGCTTCTACCTAGTCGAATACGTCGACATCCGGAACCTTCCAAGTCAGCGGTCTGCTGGTCATCTACTGACGCAGCATTAATCTTGTTAACCAACAGGAGATTGGCCTTCATGATCGTGATCAACAAGAATCTTTCTTGCTAACTTCGGATCCAAATCCTTTTCACCTGCCCTAGTCCAAACAATGTCATGATAACGCATATTTGTCACAGGCGTTTATCGAAGAGGCTATCGAACGATCTCATGTGTGCATATAATCTGTGCCTTTAGTTGCTACTGTAAGGTTTTCAGATCTTCTATAGTTTCACACCGAATATCGTAATGGGCCTTAATCATGAAGTTTATACGTACGACTCATATATCTGCCTACATCGTTGCTACACGTTCAATTAGCCCTATTTCTTCATGCAAGTGGCAACTTAATTATAGTTAGAATATCCACACAAATCAGTATAGCATTTGAATACAGTTAGTTTTGAAGAAAAATTCACTTCACATTTGAGTAATGATATCGTAGAGGTTGGGGCAATTTTAAACAGTTCCCTTTAGCCGTATCTATATCTCGCAAAGAAAACAATGAACTCTCTGAAGGAAGCTGAGATAACACTCGACATTTACGTCAGATAATCACCCCGCGTCCCAGAGGTCAAACCACCTAAACGCATTGCAGCTTAAGGCCAAGCTATAGACACAATGACTTTTCTAACAAAACCATTCATTCCAATGTGTAAATGTGTCCTTTTCATTATTGAACTTGTATGCAATATGAGGGCTGCGTACTTATTCATTTATTAAGCCTATAGACAAACTTAAATAACTTATTATAAATGCATGATTGGTTTATAGTAAAATAAAACCATAAAATTAAAGATAAAAAAACAACTTTACTCGCTCCCAGGACCACGACATTCTGCAGAGCCAACATCATGGTCATTATATATATTCAATGTACATTTGATTCCGTTGGTGAGTTGCTAAAGGTAAACGATTAATGAACAGTTGCAATAAGGTATCAATTAAGTTAATTAATGAACTAATTAAGCTATGTCATAATCAGAGTCATACTTGATTGTGTTTCATTTTCATATATCCGATAATGCCACTCAGTGACTTCCCTACGACATACTTAGCTACAAAGTTGTCTTTCAATTGGTTTTTTTCCAGAGTAACTGTTGCTATGGCTAAAATACTTCTAGGTCGAGCAACACATGGCAACAAGTTATATTAATGTTTTTGTTGTTAATACTGAAGTTAGTGCTGCTGTATTCCGCGTGAAAGAAGGCGTTTGATGAAATCATTCGAGGTAAAGGCTTGCGCGCAAAGGACCGATAAAGGCCTACTTCGTCGGAAACACTACGTTAAACGGTGACATTATCAAGATCATCGCCATCGGCAAACGGACTGGGCAATTACATCTGTATTTCTGTTGTTTATTGCCACCGGGGCCAACGGTCCGAGAACGTCTATCGTAACCAAACACAGCGCGATAGCACTGCACAAGGCTCACATGAGCGTGGCTAAGGAAGTTTGTACCTATATATATATTTTACGTAGGGTGTATCTATTTCAATGATCAAAAGTAAGTGTAAAAAGCTCATCAGTCAACATAGATATCATTCATAGTATTATAATTTATGCGGCCCAAATCTGTATATAAAAAAACTATTTGAGGCTAGCTGAAGTAAATCGCAGTTTATCAACGGTGGCTTCATTATTCGCAGCATGTTAGTAGCAGCGATAACAACGAATCAAATACTAGATGACAAGGTAAGCCAGGCGGACGACAATGTTCTATGGCAACTTCGAGCATCGAACGGCTCATAGAAGACGTCTGGACGTAGGCGATGACGACGCACCGGGGACAAGCCTGATACTCGAAGCTCTTTTCGTTCGCCTGCACGCGGACACCATGGAGACTGGTCTGCCGCTATTCTTCCTACCCAAACGGCCGCGGGTGAACTACACAGCGCCTCGCAAGTGGATTCTTATTCCAGGACTGCGCCCTCGAACAGCCTTGAACACTAGCATCCGGATTACTGCCAGAATGGGCAAGGCCATGGTTCGAAGCGGCGATAGGATAAGCAATATTTAAGGCAATCTCGGCAGCGTGGGAACGGTTCAAGGCAAAGCTGAGAGATTTAAGTTGCTTCCGATATATTTCTAATAACTAAGGCGACAGGTGGCATTTCTAAATCTTCATTTAAGCGAATCGACAGATCGGAGTGATCGTACGCCGTGTGTGATCATTTCGTCGACTAGCTCACTAAAGCTGCCTTGACGAAGGGTTTGCGTCAGTCTCCCGTGCGTACCAGAGATATCGATCAGACGTAAGACCGAATTTGTAAGTACACAGCGGGGAATCCCGATTAATGTCCAGCAATTGGCCGCTGATACTTCAGCTACGGGGAACAAGGTTATTTCAAGAATTGATACGTAAACGGACCCACCATGACCCATTCGTGGTCAACTTTACCTGCGGAGAGATACAGTTCGTTAATATATGATCAATAAAGGAGCAATAATATATATGTATTACTGCTGAGTATCGATGTGGATTGAACAGTAAATTCGAAGCGCAAGTAAAAAACGTATCCTTCCGGCAAAATGTTGACACAAATAGCAGAACCGCACATCTGCACATTGGGAATCATACGTACGTACATTTTTCACAGACTTCACAGCGTTAGCTTCCAATAATAAAGTATAACAGTTCGTTCGTAAAATTCGTTACGTTTATCTTGACATAAATGAACGATCAATAGTTAAATTTAAGTGATATGGTAGAAGTTTTGGCTGAGTTCCGGGTGCTCTTTGTGCGGCGTCTCTAACAGTTCTCTATACCAGTCAGAGAAGAACAACAAAGAATGGACGGACTTCTTTAGAATCTTTCCTTATGTTTTTCTTCCATAAAGCATAAAGTACTTCTTAATCTCACTCCCTTCTTTTTTTTCCTTGTCCTGTTAGCCTTTTGAGGCTTCACGTTCTACAACCTCGCGTTCTTCTGGCGTACCATAGAGTTAATTAGTGAGCACCAACAACAACACCAAGTTGGCTTGAGATCTGGGATCTGGGCATGACCTGGCTTTTGGGCCTTTTTGTTCGGACGGTTTCCTAAGTCTCTGCTCTTCCATAACAACAACAGCCAGCGCAAGTCTCTTACACATTTCTCTGACCTTTTTCCCGTGCGGAGGCAGTTTCTGGGTGAGGGACACAAAAGGGCAAGCCCCATCCCTTTCTTCTCTGCGGGTGTCCCGTTGGTGGGTCCCGCTCGTCCTGGCGTCTTTTGCTCTGGAGACCATTCGCTTTTTTTGCGGCCCCTGTTGTCATAGCCATCTTTTTGTTCGCTTTGCTCCTGCTATTTGGCGTTTTCTTCTATCTAGTTCTTCCCGTAGATATTTTCTTGCTTCCTTTTTCCGGCCTCTTTTGCCAGGTCAAGTTGTAGCAGCTTCATTAAGGCCAGCAGCAGCCCCAAGTCAAAAAAGCATGAAAAGCACAGAGCTATAAGTCGCTGAGACCGCAGTAGAGTTTAAGATCTTGGCTACATCCTACCACTGCCTGCATGTCGTGATGCCTTACTTGTTCCTGTCTCGTAGTCCGGTGTTTTCTGCTTCTTCTGTCTCTACATTGGCTGGCTTGCCAAGGCACCTGGTATATCCGATCTCTTTTCACCCAGTGGGAGCTAGTAGCCTTTTTCGTTTGCGATTTTTTTTAGTCCCACCCCTTCCTGTTCTGGTTCCAGTATACGTTTTTTCCAGCAGTAGAACGACTGATTTCGAACGTTGCTGAGAGTCATGTCATCCCCTTAAGACAATTCGTTGCTAGTTGGCATGGTGTACCCGTCGTATTCTCGCCCCTGTCAAAGAAAACACCAAACTGTTCAATCTGTTTGTGAGTCTTCATCAAATGGCCATGAATCGCCCCTTCACGACACAACGCGAAGATCAACATACTACTTACGTAAATTTTTATTTAACTAGCTAGTTGATTCATTACAAAGACATAACCAACTAACTTTATTCTTAAATATATTTTCAACTGTAAGTTTGCAGAAGTGAGGCCTGTTGAAATTTTTACAGGGTCGGTATTCATCTTGGGTCGTTCGTTCATTACGTGACATTAAAGCAAAGCTCTATTCTGAGACGTTCGAAACTCGTGATTTCTCCACAATCGCCTACAGCAACAAATACATACTGGGTATATTTTTGCGATATGTTGTGACGCTTCGTAAGTGTATATGATACTATATATATCCGATGTGACTCCATTTTGTTAATATATGTAACGTAACTGTTTCGAGCTTGTTCCAGCCTTTATGCCTTTTTTGTTAAACCTGTAGCTTGTGTTCTCCATCGCGTATACATAGGTATGTACACAACAGTTCATCCATTGTTCTGTGTCTACTCTT